TTAAGAGAAAAAATAGTGTTAGTCCTGATTTCGAAGTTTGATGAGGTTTCGACGATATGAGTTGTGACTTACTAGTTTCTCTTTCTTCACTTGCAATGTGTTTTGAGCGTGTGAAGAAAGGGAAACTAGCGTTTGCGGTTGCGGGCGGTGGTTTTATGGGTGAATCGAGGGATGGATTAGGTTAGGTCTAGTGTTCTGAGGAGAGTGAAAATTGCGCTTGAGTTTTTGCATGACTGCGTATCCTGTATACGCAGTTGTGCAAACTCGTATTCTAACAGGCTCCCTCAATTTGAACGGTATTGGATAGGCCAATCATGTCTCTGAACTTGGCGAAAGGCTTTTTCCCGAGATTTTTGGTAAAGATGTCCGCAATCATGTTTGAGGTATACGCATGCTTCATCTTGAATGTTCCATTGTGCACGTGTTCGCGAATCCAATGGTGCTCGATGGCAACATGTTTCACTCGTCCGTGATGAATGGGATCTTCAGCCAGGTGAATTGCGCTAAGGTTGTCGCATACCAGTTCGAGGGGCACGGGAACTGTCATACAGAGTTCTTTCATGAGCTTGATGAGCCAAAGTGCCTCCTGGCCCGCCTCGGTGATGGCGCGGTATTCCGCTTCCGTGGACGACAGAGCCACTGTTTGTTGAAGTCGGCTTCTCCAGCTGATAGCTCCTCCCATGAGTTTGAAGATGTATCCAGTTGTTGACCGGAGTGTGGACTTGTCCCCCGCCCAATCTGCGTCGCTTGCACATTCTGGAAAGTTCCAACTAGGATTTGCGTTCAGGATCTCTTCTGGCCGGTGTTTGTAGCGAATACTGAAAGAGCTGGTGGCCTTAAGGTACCGGAGAACATGGAGGAAGGCATCCCAATGTTTTTGGTTTGGTTTTTCAAGAAACCGGGATAAGACACCAACCGCAAAACTGATGTCTGGGCGAGTACAGATAGCAATATACATGAGAGAACCAATTGCACTCCTGTATCTGGTGTTAAGTTTCACGAAGTTTTCGTGCTCTTCGTCAGTTGATTTGACCAGTTTGATGTTGTATCCGAAGGGGGTGCAAGCTGGCCTGCAATTTGCCATATTGAATTTTTCGATGACGTTCTGGATCATTCCGTGCTGATGGAGGGTGTAATCGCCGTTTTCTTGGCGTTCCAATTCAAGGCCGATCACGAATTTTGCAACACCGAGGTCTTCCATTGCCCATTTCGACTTGATCTCATTCTTGACTTTGTCGATTTCGTCGCCAGTGATGATCATGTCATCAACGTGTAGGTATAGGATGCTTCGCTTCCCGGAAGAGTTTCGGAAAAATACGCAGGAATCGGCGTTGGTCTTTACAAAACCAATTTTTGTCAAGTGCTTTTCTACCTCGATGTGCCACAAACGTGCTGATTGTTTTAGGCCGTAGATTGATTTGTGCAGCTTCCAGACTTTCCCTTTTCCGCCAACTTCGAAACCTTCCGGCTGCTCCAGGTAGATCTCTTCGTCCAACGGGCTATTCAGGAATGCGGCAACGGCATCCATTTGTTCCACAATCCAACCCATCTGAGCGGCAAGGGCGATGATCAGGCGTAAGGACGCTGGTCTTCCAGTGGGTGAGAAAATTTTGTCGAAGTCTACGCCTTCTTCCTGAGTGAAACCTTTTGCTACGTATCGGGCTTTGTATTTCGATATCTCCCCGTCAGGGAGGATCTTGACCTTGAATACCCATCGACCGCGGATGATTTTTCGTCCGGCTGGGCGTTCGACCAGAGTGAATACGTGAAGTTTCTCAAAGCCGTCAATCTCCTTCTGGCAAGCTTCTGTCCATCTATCCTTGTACTTTGATTTAAGTATGTCTCGAAACATTCGAGGCTCGTACTTTGGATCAAGGATTGCGACGTTGAAGCATTGGCCTCTTTCGGTTTGATATGATCGTTTGGGGAGCTGACTGATTCTGGTTGATCTTCTTACGTAATTCGGATGATCCGGATGATTTTGGGGTGGTTTTGGAGGAATCACTTTTAGCCGGATTTGTTTATCTTCGTCAATTGGGTTTGGGGTCTCTTCCTCATCCGAGATATCTTCTGATGATTTGTCGTCCAGGAGTGCCGGCTGATCTGGTGTAATTTCAGTTTGTTCATTCTCTTCCTCATCCTGACTGATTATGAAGTCTTCAGACGGCTCGTCTCCTTTCTCAGGAAAACATGTTTCGTCAAATGAGACGTCGTGGACGTTGATTATCTTGTGGCTTTCATAGTCGAAAACTAGATAATTGCGGTTGAATTCATCAAAGCCGACCAAGATTCCCTTTCGGGATGTATCACTGAATTTGCTCTCTCGTTCTTCCGATCTGTTATGAATGTATGTCAGACATCCGAAAGTGCGAACATATTCAACGTTGGGCTTGTGATGGTACCAGAGCTCGTATGGTGACTCCATGAGACCGTTTCTTGCTCGATTAAACATCCGATTTTGAACAAACACGGCAGCGCGCATGCCAAACTCCAGAATCTAGTTGGCACTCCGCTGAACAATAGGAATGATCTAGCTTTTGTCGCTATGGTTCTCATGTATCTCTCGACCAACCCATTTTGTTGAGGTGAATAGGGAGCGGTCGTGTTCTTAACAATACCGACCGAGTCACAGAAAGGGATGAGGAGGGAGTTGATGATTCTCTCTCATCGGTGGTTATCATTTTGACCTTACGATCGCATGCTTCAGCGCGGGTA